AATAATAAGAGTCTATGGGGTAAAGGGTGACCTCTATGGGAGCACTTCATCCCGAAACCCATCTTTATTAAACACCAATAAAGCTCAATACTTTTAAACTGAAATTATCACTGTAATGAGGGTAATAACCTCACAGTTATTAATTATTTACAAAACCTCTGCAAACCTGCTACCTGGTTTATTATTATTGTATAATTTCATTGTCAAACTTTATAAAGTCATTATTTGGAGTTACTGTTTAAACCTTAGTTCTCACTGCAATACCTTTGTATTCTAATACATGTACCAGAGCTGCTTGTATTTCAGGGAACACATGGCTACTTGTCTCATTTCATAGAGAGAGGTATAAAACAGGGAAGGGTGGGAGGGAAATTTTGGTTCTACGAATGAGAAAGTACAAGAACTGTGTTATGCACGGCTGAGCATGTGATTATGCAGTGCAAGATTTCATGTGCATGGTAGATGCTGATTGGTTGAGCGGGATCATCCGACATGAGTAACTCATATGTGGGAAGTGATCCGTGACCAGAAGTGACCTGATTTATTCTCTCCTGGGTTGTATGGCTAGACATTAACTATAACTTATATTTTGGTATAAATTGGCTTCAATTTACAGAGATTTTATGGTGCTCTGAATACGTCAATTTACAGAGATTTTATGGTGCCCTGAGTATGTCAATTTACAGAGATTTTATGGTGTCCCAAGTATATCAATTTACAGATATTCTGCAGAGATTTTATGGTGCCCCGAGTATGTCAATTTCCAGAGATTTGGCAGAGATTTTATGGCGCCCCGGGTATGTCAATTTACGGACGATTTTACGGTGCCCCGAGTATGTCAACTTACAGAGATTTTACATAATAAGGTTAAACGTGTAAATCTTTGTAAGTGGTAAATTTACAAACATTCTTAGAAGATTTTGTTAAGTCTTTAATTTATGAGTCCTATCCTCTTAATCTACTGTAGCTGCTACAATTTACAAACATTTTACAAACATTTTGAAATGAACAGAACTAAAAACTAAACAAAATGTTTGTAAAATAAATTTACAGACGTTCTGTATTTAAGCAGGATAAGTATCAGGTCTGTAAATTCAGGATCTATAGACATTTCTCAAAGTCTGTAAATGGGTCAAATTTTCCAGTGATTATACACTGAAGTCCTGCAATACGCTCTTTATTGCGCTGTGAGATGTTTGTAGAACAGTTTACACTTGAGTGTGGAAATAAATTTACAGCTGCTTTGACTTTGCATCACTGCGTTTGATTCAAATAACTCATACTACTTATTCATTCAATCAGAAGTAAAACCAAAACCGAACGTAACGTTTTCCCGCGCGTTGCGTCAGCTGCACTGGTGTACTTTGCACATAGAAGTCTCTGTACTTCCAGAACGAATTTCAGACAATCTTACCTATCATGTGTTAAACAATTTGAATATTTGTACGCGTTCATCTGGTGGGAGGTTCTCGTTGCCCGATCGGATGTCCCGAGAATTTTCGATTTGCGTCCGCCATCCGAGACCCCTTATATTTTACTATTTAAGGTTCAAAATGGCCGGCATGAAAACAAAACTCTTGTTATCTCTTTTATTCGCCCTTTTATTTGATGCGAGGGACTCCTGTGTATGCTTCAAGTTTCATTGGTTCACTGGGTTGCATGTAAGGTACTATCATCTTAATTTTATTAAAGCGTGCATGAGCGTTAGCTGGTGTAGTTAACTACTATGTAAATAATCATTTCGCATTTTTTTTTTAAACTATTCTACAGGCTTTTGAAGCTTCCTCCCCTGAAGGAAGAGAGGTTACCGGGAAAGAAGAAAAAATGTCAGTTCAGGAAAATGGTGTCTGGACTTTTTACGGGGTGAGGATTATCTCATAGAGGATAATACATGGAATATCTCTTCGAGGCCGAGTTGAACACAAGAAGAATAGTTTAACTTCCCTATTTTGGCCTCTTTTTGGGTTTTGTAATATAAGGAGTTGCCAACATAACGACATCAACAATCTTTAATTAAATCGTTCTAAGACTTTTAGTCTTAGGACGATTTAATTCAAATGATATTCAAAAATATCATTTGAATATTGAGACATGATTTTTTTTGGCGTAGTGACTTTGAATTTACTAAGAACAGGGAACTGTTCACTACAGGGTCTTAATGTACATTTTCATTTAGACGGTTTAGTTTGACTGAGGTGGACAGAAACTAGCCACGAGCATGGCGAGCGATTGCACTCTCTCCGATCTTTGCGTAAATCTGATGTAAAACACGCTAACATAAGTAAAAAATGTAATTCGACATCTTTTTTTATCACCACTTTTTATTTATTCTACAAAACACTAATTCTCTCATATAAAAGTGCACCAATACTAATCTATTGAGCTGTTTAAAGCTTGTTTTGCAGGACGCGGTATCGTAAAGAGTTCTAGTCACTGAACTAGGATATATCCCATGGCTTTGATGTGTTTGTCTCCATTATCTCCGCCATGCATTGCCATGTTTCCAAGAGTGAAGTCCCAGTTACCACCAAACCCGATTATCGAGTCACAGCTGATACAATCGTTCTCGTTGTTTCCAAGGATGCCGATCCTCACTGTTCTATAGGTACATGCAGCATTGAACCCTTCCTTGTTACAGTTGAGCTGTAACGAGGCCAGTGAACCAGTCAACGTCTTCCACGTGTTACGACCCAGTGAAGTGGCGCGGTATCGACCGTCAGCGATCAGTGAGTGCAGAGAGTTGGCATGCCTGTTAATGGCAATGAACTTGATCTGATGGCCGATCTTCATACCAAGACAGATCTTGGAGAAGGGTGTGTTCCAGTAGGTCGGTAACTTGGTCTCTTGTAAGTCAAACCCAGTCTTGCCTCCAGGGAGATTAAACTCGTTCTTGTTGGTCCAGAGTGTAGAATGGTAGAGGAAGGATGACTACATAAGAAGAAAGAAAAGAGGCAGGCTCCTGCCTTGTCAACTTATTAATTTAACATTCGAAACAACAACAACAACAAAATCCTTTTTTTCTACCTCCTTTTTTTTCGCTAACACGAACCGTTCTTCAATTTTGTCAAATGTTATATGGGGGAGGGGGGGCAGAAAAACGAGGATCTTTGTTTTTGTCATACCTTATGGCCATCAATTTTCATGACCAGTGTCCATCCTCCTCCTCCGCATGCACCAATGCCGTAGCTGGTCATGTGACAATACACAGGGACCTTTCCACTGTTATTCTGCAGCTCGTAGGCTTTATTTACTCGTAAACTGATGAATGAAAATCACATACTTTAGGTTCTAGCATACAAAGCCATTGTTTGTAAAAGCATGACGTAAAGTGTCGCCATTAAGTTCTCCCGCTTCTAAGCCCTCCTGGTTATAGGCCCATCTCATATAAACCAACTATTACCTTCGATTACAAACTCCCGCGAAAATAAGCACCCCCTATAGTTTAAAATGAAATGTTTTCGATTTATTATGATTCTTTTCAGCTACTAAAAACCAATATATGAAATAAGTATTTCGATCAACACTGGCTGTTGATCTTTTCGAAACGGTTGTCTTTGTTCCAATGATAAGCCTCCTCCTCCTCGGATATAAGCCCACCCGTTTAAGGCTAATCCTATACTACTTATGAAGTTGTATAAGCCCAGGGCTTATAAGCGGAAGTTTTACGGCATTGATTTAGTGTGAAAGTTACTGTTTTTAGAGGGGTTGGACACAAATCGTTTTTTAACAGAACTCGTGATGACATCTGTAAGCTTGTTGAAGTCACTCATGAATGTTTCTTCCTCTGGCAAGAACAAAGCGCCGCGCACCAGTGACAAACCTTTATCTTTTGCTTTTAGCAGCGACATACTTCCTTCAATCTTTGTCGAAAAATCAATGCCGTGCGTACAGATACTTTCCAGCGCCATGCCTTTACATTATAATAGTTTGTTACATAAGTAGAACGTTAAATGACATTTTATCTGCGAACTTACTTGTGTTTGTCATACAGTTCTTTACAGGAAGAAGCGGGGACATCTGTGAAGAAAATTAAACACAGGTGAGGAGCTAGGCATTAAAAAATGAAGAAAAAATTTCTATGAAGATCGGTTAATGCAAGTTTACCTGGTGGGGTAACAAGTGCGATAAGCTTTTCCAACTTCGTTTCCAAAGCCTCAATTGCTGAACAGACATTCTTCTTGTCACAGGTGCCAGATTCTGCGCCATGTATAGCGACCAGAATGAGCAAACTTACGCTAAAGCTAGCAGCAAACAACAAGCGCATTTTGAGAACTAAGGAAAAAACCCTTTGTGCGTTAAACCGGCTGCGTTTTGTCGATAACTGACTGACTGCGTTTTCCTGTATACAAGATGTTTTCGTAACTAAGATGCGCGAATATTTTCTTGCTTGAAGCCACGTCAACCAACCAACCACTTAAAAACTTATGTTTGGCTAATAAAAGTACAGTCTTTTTCCGATATACCACTGCTTGCGAGAAATAAATTTGTAAGAAGAACGCCAAATAATTCCGAAATGCTGAAATCTTAACATATTTACGTCGGGTTTTCAAAATAAATTGAAGCGAATTTTCGCGAAATGCGATTCATAAATGAGTCATAAATAGCCTTTGTTTGCAAGCTGTTGCAAAAGAATAATTACGCGTGCAGCAAGCAGAAATGTATTACGTTTTGTTCTGCCTACAATGCCGAAAAGTTTTCAAAAAATTGTTTTGAAATATTTGTTACCATTAATCAAATCGTTTTGAGTGATTCTACAACTCTTCCTAGAGCTTTACAATGTCTTGTAGACGATGTTGCCAGTATCATTTACTCTTCATGAACAATCATATGTAATTATATACTAATGGAGTCAAAACAAATCCATCACTTCCCTTTTGACCAAGTTTTTGCTTCGGCTCAGCGATCTTGCATATTCATTGTGTGCATGAATTAATTCTCATTTGAATTCTGTATATTTTCACTTTATTAGACATTTTAGTATGTAGCCTCACGGCATAGGCAAGTATTTTGGTGAGCCGATAGGGTGACTCAAAATAGAAATACAAATGACGACTAAAACTCTACAGTGATACTACACACTAATATCCCTAGTGAAAGATTCGTGTCTGAAACTTCTTACATTCAACCGATCTGAACAGCATTTGGCGCTATCTACACATATATTCTTTTGTAGATATATTGCTGAGCAGATAACCTCTTACACTATCACACTAAATTTACTTTTAAGTTAATGAGTAAACGCTTAATAGGTCTTGAAGTTATTTGCTGTAAAATGATATTGTGAAGCCAGCTCGTGAAGAGGGCCTCAAACTTGTTCAGCGACTGTAATTTTGCCCCAGGCGGTCAAAAATAAACATTGACTTAGCCGTCAATAATTAAGTTAATAACCAAGACTATTTTCTGAAGATGTAGACTGACAATCGTGACAATCGTGTCGTGAAGGGCAATCAACCTATAGCTCAATCGACTTGTGAATGCTCACAATTCACAAGTCGATTGAGCTAGAGGCTGATTACCCTTCACGACACAGGGATGGGAAACTACCCATACTAGACTTGAAAGTCTGGGTGGAGAAGAGGAACAGGGTAATAGATAATGCACAAGAGCGTGAAGTCAAGGTGGTATTACATGAGTTCTACTACAAAGATCAGCCTTACCATGGAGCTGCAAGAGAAAAATACTTACACAAGAAGTGTTGAGAGTACTTCTCAACTGCAGTAGAGAGCTCCGTTGGGAAACTGTTGTTGCCCAAGTCAACCACATGATGTTACGACTCCAGTACTCAGGTTACGATCAGAAGTTTCGAACGGAAGTGGTAAGATCAGCCTTGCATGTCCACACCCGCCTGATAGAACTAGATGTCAGTGGTGAGACGCCGTTGTACAGGCGACGAGAGTGGAGAAAGTTGGACCGAGCACGAGAGAAACGGAGAAAGCGTGAGATCTGGTACAAGAAAGAAGGGTTTGACACAGTGATTTTCGCGCCAGCAACACCAGGGTCTCAGCTTAAACATCTTTACATGAAAGAGATCAAAGAGACAGGATTTAAAATCAGGGTTGTCGAGCAGTCGGGAACAACACTTAAGAGCATGTTGCAAAAGTCAGACCCGTTCAAACCAAAGCGGTGCGCAAAGGTCGATTGTCTGGTCTGTCGAACTGACGGAAAGGGAAATTGCCGCAGTACCGGTGTAACGTACGAGCTGGTGTGCAAAACTTGCTGTAACAAGTACATTGGAGAGACGTCACGAAGCGCTTACACTCGTGGGAGAGAACATCTGAATGCTCTCGAACGTCGGGAAGAAATTTCTGTGATGTGGAGGCATTCGTGTGACAGACATGAAGGGAACGTTCCAGACTTTGTGATGAATGTAACGGGAACTTTTCGTGATGACGCGATGCTCAGGCAGGTCACAGAGTCGGTTTGATTAGTAAGACTGAAGAAAGAATGCTCATTAACTCCAAAACTGAGTGGAATTACGCCCGCATCCCAAGGACTGTTGTCACGTCGTAGCGAACTGAAAAACTCCTGTTTCAGGACCCTTGTTTCAAATGATGAGGTCCTGGTATCGAGCGGTCATTTTTCGTGTGTTGCTACATGACGTATGGCGATCAACTGGAGGTCTTAGAAGAAACTAGTTTTGTAAATCGCATATGTGGATTAGTGTGTCGAAAGTGAATGCAAATTAGGTTTTTTCCGAATTAAGATGATGAGTGATTGAATGTTTCGTTTTTTGTAAACACTCTACCTTGTGTCAACTAGTGTCAGGTTTAACTGGGAATACCGTTATAGCGGAAAATCAGTGCGATAAATGATGTCATTAATAGCACAGCGTCCCGGACTCTTCCTCGGTTTGGCCGGAGAAAATGTATTGACAACTCCGTTCGCGCCAAATGTGCGTTAGTTTTACTTCGTCCAACCGTGACTTCGGCAGACCCGAGTATCTATCTGTTGGGCTCCCAAGAATTTCATTTCTCACATGTTTCCTCGGCTTATCCGACTCGATGAACTTGCTTGTCCTTGTTTGCCATCTTCTTCTCGCTTTAAACTATGCACTCAGAAACACCGTTAAACCTCACTATTTAGGAGCTACGCCCGAAAGATAATTTGAAATAGCGGAAGCTCGAAATAGCCGATAGTAAATGACTGAAGGGCAAAATAACGTGTACACTGAAGTCGTGCAATACGTTCAGCCTTTATCGCACTGTGCGACGTTTGTGAAACAATTTACTCTTGCGTATGGAAAGAAATTAACATTTACTCTGGCTTTGCATTGCTACGATTAGCTCAAATAACTCTTGTTACTTTGTTATTCAATCAGAAGTAAAACCAGGACCAAACGTGACGTTTTTCCCGCGCTTCGCGTCAGCTACACTGAGGTATATATTTGCACACAGAACTCCCTCACATCAAATCAGAGGACAAATTACAGATATTTTTACCTATTTAGCGGTAACCATTTTGAATTTTAGTACGCGTTCATCTGGTGGTAGGTTCTCGGGGCACCATCGCATGTCCCGAGAATTTCCGATTTGTATCAGCCATCCGAGATCCCTTATATTTTACTATTTAAAATTCAAAACGGCCGTCATGAAAACAAAACATCGCGTTGTCTCTTTTATTCATCCCCTTATTTGATGTGACGGACTCCTGTGTTTGCTTTGAGTTTTCAATGCTTCACTTGATTTTCCGTGTCCTTTGTCATTGGGCAGAGTGATTACTTTGGTTTCGGTTTTACTCTACTCATTTGAAAAACCATTCTATGTATGTACGATTCATTGCAAGGTCAGGGCCTCAGATGGCAGCTACGTAGTCTCAAACATACGAAGCCATAAATAATTGTTTAAGTCTAGCGACCGAAACTAAGCAGTTAAACCGTCAGCGCGCTATCTGTTGGACTGATGTTGTTGACTCACATAGAGTTACTCGCCTTCATTATATGGCTAGCTCTGTGAGCAGGATAGAATGAACCGAATCCTGCGCTATGATTGGCTACCTGAGTGGGCAAGATATCGGGATTACCCGCTGTGAATCTCAAGGAAATAGCGTATTTATTCCAAAAAATAAATCCCATATTGACTAAGCTTGTTTGCTCAAGATGATGGATATTGACCTTGTTCTTTTTTCGCGTGTTTTTGAACCTCGACTCCGTCTCGGTCCATAAACAAAATACGTAAAAAAAATGGCCAATATCCATACATTCTGATCTCACGCCTGGTCAATAGTCCATATACACCTTTTTCGCCGGCTATATTTCAGCCACACTGATCAGATTTCATAAAGCCTTGTTTTTTT